GTGCCCCCCCCCCCAAAAAAATGGCACACGCTTTTGGGGGGTGAGGAAGGGAGGCAAATTTACTCAGTCTTATAAAATGTTTTTCACCCAGCGTGATTTACTCGGGCATGGCTGATTCCACTGTGAGTGATGGTGGGTAACCAACTTGCCCAACAAATAAGCTGCTTTTAGGGGTGTGTGCATGAACTGATTAAGAAGGGGGCCAGTAAAGGGACATTTTAGCACTAATGGACCGGCTGGGGTCTACCGAGGCCTGAGCCTGGTGATGGGCTGCCTGTAAATGCCCATGCTAGAGCAGAGCGTGGCTGGGTGAGGTAATAACTGCTATTGGCCCAACTTTCAAGCTTACACAGCGCTCTTCTTCCCATCATTGAGAGTTTGAACACTTGGCTCTGGCACCAACAGCAGCTGGGCCAATAAAGCAGGTGGGGGATGAATGGCAGGGAATGGTATTAGGACCAGGATTTGTTAACGTCATCATTAATGATGTGGCAGCAAGCATAAACAGCAAGGTAATGAACCACCCAGCCACCGTGGACTGCAGAGGCCTCAACGTGGCAGTGAGAAGAGACAGAGAACACAAGGGTGCAAGCGACAACTATGATTCAGTTTGGGAAGCTGCAGGAACACATGTGAGGGGAGAATAACCAGTGCTGTAAGACCTAGCCAATGGAGTCTGCCGGTAACTCCCACATGACACTGTACTGCAAGATGGTGGCAAGAGGCCAGTAAAGTTGGGGCTGCAGAGAGTGGTCCACGCCGCAATGCTGTGCTCCATCATGAGCTACTGGTTCTCAGCGAGACGCAGGGTGGGTGGGCTGAGGCTCGGTGAAGAGGTCAGTGCAGCTGCAATATTTTCAAGCGGCCGTGGCTGTGCCTTTGTATAGCAGGGTGAAGCACTGACAGTGTCTACGAAGATATTAACAGTAGGAGGGCAGGAGAGGAATTATTTAGGTTGATATAAGCCAGGGCTTGAAAACACACAGGAGTGTCAAAGAGGTGAGGAACCGCTCCCAGATCAGTGGCATAGGTAACATTTAAGCTTCCAGTTATAAGTGGCTAGCACCTGTGGTCATGAGGAAACCTTCCGAATACAAGTCAGCTGCTCCTGCTCAGGGCTTCCCTTAACAGCACAGTGCAATTGTAAGTCACCCCCTCACCCAACCACTCTGTGCCACCATTCAGGACCCCATGTGAATGTTGCCAGGCCCGAGCAGTGAACGAGCATGAGATTGTTCTTTAAAATCTCATGATTTTTAAGCCAGCCAGAGCCTCACATCTGTTCTTGGCCTTCTGCTTTGGGCCTAACACACATTTCCTCCCCCACCCCCTAAGCTTTTCTCCACTGCCACGAGGGCTAGAAACACGCTTTGATTTTCCATTGATATTCTCACATAAATCGGATGACTCCTGGAGCTCTAGGACAAAATGCCACATAGTGCACTGAGGCAACGCTGTAGCCAGCAGTGAAAGGAAAAAGACTCAGGTTGGTTTTACTCTGCCATTGCAATGGAAGGTAGGAGCAGCATTTGGGACGAGTGATAGTCAGAGGGAAAGAGGACCAGAAATTAAAAGGTTGGGGGGAACAGCTCCAGTAAAACAGTGTGATCCTCTCCACCCCCCACTCCTCCTTACAGCAGCTCTGAAGGAAGAGCAGTGAAGAAAGCTCCTTCTGTTCCAGAAGCCAGCACTGAGTAAGGCTTCAAATGTACCAGACACCCACTAGCCAGCAGCTTACATCAAAGCAACTGAATGGCACCAAGGGGAAGCATCCTCAGAGGAATTGCAGCCCCCCTCGGGATGGGAGATTCTTACCCCAGCTTCTCCCTGGCCCTTAGCTTCCCTATTGGCCTGGAGCGAGAAGACACCTGGTAACTTTTCCAAGCACAGGCCTGGGAGTGGGATGAAGATGTTTTAAAAAGGGGGATAAGTTAGGCTCAACATTAAGCAAGGCTTTGGAGCAGTGAGCTGCAGCGCGACCTGAAACTGCCTCCCAAGGGAAGCAGTGCAAACCCCTTTCTAAAACTAGCATGTGACTGAGCACTAGAATATGAACCAGGACCAATCCTCCCTCGGAGAAAAGTGGGGGATTCCAATGGCTTCCTCTTCTACCTTCTCTGGGGCCAATTGCCCTCTGGCACTAGGGTAACTCGGGGGGTGACTTCCACCTGAGACCAGTGGGAGAGAAGAATCAGGCCCCTTTGTTGTAGAGGAAGTCAGGCCACTAGCAGGCATCCTACATGAATCCGCCAGCAGCAAGCAGGTTTAAACAAGGTACGAGGTAGCAGGTAAAAGCAGCATCATTTCCCTCCCCCCCGGCAGACAGGCCTTCTCTGGTCTCTGCAGATGCCAATGCAGCTTAATGGCTTGGTTCAGGAGGGGACTCCAGAGAACTGAGCACAGGAGAGATATGTAATCCCCAGTGTTTACAGAGCACTTTTCAGCAGCAGATGTCAGGGCGCGTTACAAAACAGGATCATTATCTCATTTTACATATGGGGAAACAGAGGCACAGGCCAGTGAAGTGACTGATCCAAGGTCATCCAGCAGGCCAGTGGCAGAGCCAGGAATAGAATCCAGGTCTCCCGAGTGCTGCGTTCTATCTCCTAGGCAACACTTGCCACCCTTGACCATACGGCCTGGGGAAACTGCGCCAGATCCAGTACCAACAGCCTTGTTTAAACCCAGATGCAGCTGGCATGGCTCGGCTACCACCATGGGCTTTGGACCGTCCCTTCCCCAACTGCTGGGGGATGCTCACAGTGAAAATGAATGAAATGGGAAAAGAACATTCCTGCAAGACGCAACTTGAATTCATATTTATTTGTATGTATAATGTATATAGACTTTTGTATCGCTTTAACTGGGTGGGTTTTTTCATATACATTTCTTTTGGTATAGTACATGAAAAAAGGAAAAAATGTAAATCAGTACATTCCTCAAGGGTCTCTGCCACAACGGGACCAAAACACCCCATGCAAGAGAGAGGGGGGGAGGGGAGTTGTTTTTTTTAAACAATTCCAAAGAAGAAGAATAAAGGAACTCAAGGTCCAAAAGTTGCCAGAGAAGCAGTGCTGTATGTGTATAAATTAGGCTAACTCCACTCTGCTGCATTTTAAAGTGCAAAGAAGCTCAGTTTATTTATCTACAGAATACAGGCAAATTATTCCCCTCCCGCCCCCGGTTAAAAAATAAAAACCAATAATAAAATAAATCTAACAGATATACATTATCCACAGTCCTACAGACGCCTACACCTACTCGGTAGCACCAAGAATTTGATATGCGTGTAATTAAAATCAATTAAAACTCAAGAGCAATGATTTTGTTTGTTGGCTTGTTTTTTGCAGACTTCCTGCCCTTTATTAAATTTTCAGAGGACAAGCCCCCCCACACACACACTACAAGTCAAGGAGATGGCCCCCCCTTTGACTCCCCATCACCAGCCCAGGCTGATTTGGCATTAGGCTAAGAAGAAATACACACACACAGCTGAAGTTCCTGCTGAGGAGGAGGTGGGGTAGGGAGGTGAGGTGAGGGACTAGTGCTGTGCCTGGGGCAGGGGGGTGGGGGAGGGGAGGCATGAGTCAAACACAGGGCACTAGCTTTGTCTGTGCCTTTACAGGGGTGAAGTCGATATGGGGGCTGGGGGGGGGGGGGAAGAGAGGGTCTGCACAGCTCCTGCGCCGTGAGCCTCTGGCCACGTCATCTTTCCGGGGTGGGGGCCATGTGCAACAGTTTCAGTTTGTCCCAGCGTGCTGCGCATCCGTTTCAGTAGCCGAAGGTCTCCTGCGAGGCATAGACCATGTAGAGGAAGCCGTCCTCGTCCTTCTCCTGCTCGTAGATCTCCGAGATGGGGGTGGAGACACTCACCATGCTGTGCTGGTTCACCAGCAGGAAGAAGGCCTGGGTAGGGTTCAGCTGCAGGCGGCGCCTGCGGGTGACAGAGGAGGGAGGGGTGGTTAGACCAAACGAGGAACGGCAGGGAAGGCAGCGGAGCAGTGACCTCCCTGGGGAGCTGGAGGCCCCCCCAACTGTTCAACAAGGCCAGGCCTGGGCGCTCAGCCTCCCTTGGCGTGACCCAGAACTGCCCTCGTGGGAAGGGAGCCTTTGCCCACTAAGCTGGGCCCATTCCAGCCTGCCCAGCCAGGCCCACCTTCTACCAAGGCTCTTGCTTTGATACGTGGCCCTCCCCGTGCTTCTGGGGGGAAGGGCTGAGCCGCTCTGGCGCTGGTGCAGCTGAGGGGGCTCGGAAGCCCCTTTCGCTGTGGCCCCAAGCACTACAGCCTCTGGCAGGGCATGGGGGGCAGGAAGGCACTAGCTGTCCTCTCAGGCTGAGCTCTCTCCAGGTTTGAGCCATCACACTCAACCCCCTCAGGTTCCCAGGGCTCCTGGTAATGCAGCATTTAGGGCAGGATTTACAAAGGAACGCCACTGTGAGGACGCTGAGAAAGTCACCGGGATCCCCGAAGCCTGAGCCGGGCACCCAACCTCCTGGTACAACCAATGGGGACAGACAGGATACCTCACTTCAGCTAGCCAATGGGAGATGCCAAATCACTGGTGCTAAGCCCCGCCCTGCTCTGAAAGGAACCCCTCCCTTTCAGCCCAGTGGTTCAGGCACAGACCTGGCCCGTGGGAGAGGCCTGGTTCAAGTGAGGGCAGAAGGGATTTGAAGCGGGATCTGCCCCCTGGGCTATTGTGATGTGGGCTCCCTCAATCTCTCCATGGTGGATAATGAAAAGAATCATTGGAGCAGAGGAAGTGGATCCTGGGTCTCACTTCCCAGCTGAGGGCTCTAACCACCAGGCTACACAGTCACTCTCATGCTCACTCTCTCCGTGGCCCAGTGTTGAAGCTGTTCCACTGCGGATTCGATCCCTGGGGCAGAGAGAGCAAGGCCGAGCTGGTGGTCAGAGCACTCCCCGCCCACTAACAGGGCACTTAGGCCCCCATGCCCTTTTGTGGCTCTAGCCCTTACTGCCTCCTGAAAGACTCTCCATCCGAGGCTGCTGCACCTGCTTCACCCCCTCCCATTGCACCCCTGCCCCTGAGCGGCCCCCTGAGGCTGCAGCATCCTCCCACGATGCTTATAGCCTCAGAGCTACACTCACTGAACGGGCTTTCCAAGCAAGGCAGCATCAAGGGATCTGAGCGCTGGAAGGGGAGTCAGCAACTCCCGAGCTCCAGTCCTGGCTCAGAAATCAACCCCCTCTGTGGCCTGGGGCCTGGCCCTACCTCTCTGCTCCCACTTCTGTTACCAAAGAGCCAACCCATGCCTCATCAACGCAGGGCATGCTGCAGAATAGGGCTCTCCCACCCCCACGCTGCCCTCCCAAGAACCCCTCTCCTGCCAGCCAGGAAAAGGATGACTGTCACACTCTGGGCTGCAGCAGAGCACGGCCCCACAGGGAAATGGCGGACGGCAAAGGGCAAGGAATCGGAGAGGACGAGGTGGCTTTGCTTCTGGAAGCTCAGCACAGGCACCCACAGCAGGAGGGTGGGGATGGAGGGAGGAGGACGCTGGGGCTTTAATGTAGCCTGAGCCCATCGCAGCAGGCAGCAGACACGTTGCTTCCTTCTGTAAGGCGATGGCTGCAGGGCCTGGGTTCCAAACCCCTCCCAGGCCCTAGAATCCATCCACCACTTGGTGAGAGCCAGGCAGCTTGTCCATTGCTCCCTTCCCCCACATTGGTGGCCAGTTCCCATTGTCCCAACCCAGCACGGTCCCCCATCCTGCGCCAGGTCACACGGCCAGGGCGGGGCAGGAGGGGTCATGGTACCTTCGCTTTGGGCTGTTTCACTTACCGGATAATTTTTACCAATTCGCTCATATTGACATGGTCGGGGACTAGAAATTTGGTCTTATCCAGCACTGGCAGCTGCTTCTCCCCCTTGTATCTTTCAATGATGACCTGGTGAGAGAGAAATGGGCAGAGTCAGGCCCCACCTGCAGCTGTCAACAGGCCAGTCTAACAGGTGCCACCACCTCCATGAAGGCAAGTGCCTGCATTAACCCTCTGAAAGCCGGAGAAGAGCAGCAGCTCCTCCAGCAACAACAAAGGAGTCTTTCAGCAAGTTCCCCTCCTGAACATTTTATCCCTGAGCCCCACGGTACTGAAAAGCTCCCCCCCGCACCCCTCTGGCTGAATGACTTATTTTAGATCAATACCAAGAAAGAACAAATGTAAAGTTGCCACGAGAGCACTGGTGGGGCTCCCAGTTAAGTGTGTACTGGAACGAACACAACCAGCTGTCTGTTCTGTAGATGGCAGAGAGCTTAGAAATCAAAGATATGCAGAAAAGGGGCACCAGGCCCAGAGCTGAACCCCACACACAGTTTAGAGACAGTTATTTTGTTTCTTTTGCTCTAAGCAGAAAGGGAACAGCAGGAACTACAACCCTGCTCCCTAACCACGGTCTCAAAGCAACCTCTTCCTGCTCTAATCATCAATGAGCACAAGGCCTGTCCGCCCTCCAAGGTGCACTGGTTTAATACCACACCTTTAGTTAAACCGATGCAACTTCCATGTGTAGACAAGCCCCGACAGTGCTGGTGCAGCACCTCCTCCCACACCATGACAATGGTCTTGCTGCTGACAGCACATAGCTCCCAGGAGCAGTCAGGAAAAGCAGACTGACACGGGCCATTCTGTACTCACTCCATCCCCAGGGGATTGTTTGGAGAAGGGAGGAGGAAGGACAAGTGAAAAAAGCACCCAGTGAAAGTGACATGGATGGTACAAACGTTTGGATTACAGGAAGCAAATAGGGTGCTGTGTCCACCCCAGAGGCAACTACATTTCAGCTGTGGGTAAGTCTAGCAGCATGTAGAGTGCTCTGGGATCCTTTGAGATAAAAGGGGGCTAATAAATGTATGATTGCTATTTCACCATGTGCTACTGTGATAAGCAGATGGACAGGGAAACCTGTCCACAACTTCACAAAGTTTATCTAGGCTGCTCTCCATGAGGGTTAATGTCCCAATAGCAGAAGGGTTACAACATGCAGGGGGCTAGGCACTTGGGCAGGGGGTTACATAGAAATCAAAGCTACACAAGAGGAAAAAAATTAAATGATCCAACCCTTCACCCTCAACCCCTGGTAAAAGAATGAGGGGAATATTCAATAGGGAGAAGGAAAGGGCTTTAAAGTAACCAGACTGGAGGGCTCAGGGGCTGAGCGAGACGCCCGAGTGCAGCTCAGAATGAATTTGTTTCTATGACCGAGTCACAAACCTCTTCAACCACACCAGGGCCAAGAGAGATTGCTGTAACTGAAGGGCAAGGGGGCCAGCAAAAGGCAGGGCGTCCTCAGGGCAGGGCATCAGCAGAAACGGCAAAAACGGGCTCAGCCTGGTTTAGGCTGCTCCATACAGGAAAAAGTAGCTGGGGAATTTAGTCAGTCTGTGAATGGAGCCTGCAGCCCGACAGTGTCTGTAAGCAGATCTGATGTGGAAGCGAGAAGTGACACAAAGAGAGAGCCGAAGCTGGAAGAAGCTGAACAATCCGCTGCGATGTTCCATTTGTTTTGTTGGTTTCGTTTTATTTGCTGCGGTCTGTTTTGTTGACATTTGGGCCAGGAGAGGATGAGAGATCAGTGGTGGTCTGCTGTAAAATGAGCCCAGCTCCACTGAAGTCAATGAAGCTATGCTGATCTACCACAGCGGAGGATCAGGTTCAAAGTCAAGTGAGAAAGCAGCCCCTCCCACCCAGCAGCTGCAGGGAATTTCCTTTAATCTAGCTCCTTCTGCCCCATTCTCTTTCCCCCTCCCCCCAGCCCATGTGGGGTGTCTGGGAGGCTCTTATCTCTTCTCTCCTCTGAAGTGCTTTCCTTGCATCCACTTGGGCCTGGATACTCTCCAGGATTCCAACTGTCGCACGGTGAAGGATCTCAGAGTGCACTGTGCCTCACATTACCATGGGAGAATGGAAGGAGCCAGGCCATCCTGCCCCTGCTGCAAAGAAAGCAGGGGTCCGAGGTGTGAACTGAAAGTGAGACAGGAGAGAATTGGACATTTCTTTTGAAGGGATAAACTACAATCCAATTGGCTGAGGCAGAATCATGGAGTCATTCATTGCTAGCTGTGTAGTAAACTGGTTTTACCTTGTCTCAAATCAGCAGGACGGAGTTTGTGTGGATACTTTGTTACCTCCTCTAGAATGACTAAACACAATTAAAACATGCCTATTGTGAGGTGTGCACAAATACATACACCAGCTGAGCTGGATCACACAATCCAGTTGCAGGGAATCTGTGGCATGGGGCAAGACCTGCCCACTGCATACAGAATATGCAATGGGCTGATGACCATCTACCATCGTGCTCAGACAAAAATCTCTCCCCTAAAGAGCACGCTGCAGCCCAGGCTGGGCTGGACTGGACTGAACTGGCTCTCAGGGCAACCAGCACTCGGCTCAAGGAGGCTCCAGAGTTTCTGAAGAATCAGAGCTTCTGTTAGGCAAGATTTTAGCTCACAGAGCTGTGAAGGAACCCTCCCTAATGTGAAGCAATGCAGTGCCGTTTTCCTGACTCTGCAAATAGCCTGGAAAAACAGCTGCACACCAGACGTGGGCTACCCCAGTTATACAAATGGGGTGTGGTTGATACTGAAAGCTGCTAATGACTATTTACATGTCACCCCACAACTATTTCACTGACTGTTTTAGCAGAACACCCAGCTACTCTGGGCCTGAAGGCAGGGCCTGGGATTTAGGCAGAGATCAAGTACTACCCTGTTATTTTCTGGTCTGATTCCCACTGTCGGTTTCCTGATGCTCTGATGAGGTTACTTTGTTTTGCACATCCCAGAGGGACATTCTCAGTCCCTCCATGGGAGCAGAGCAAGCATCACACCTGGCAGAGCCGTGGTGACAATCAGATCAGGTAGTATGGAATGGACAGGTGCACAGCAGAGTTCAGCAGCCTGCAGTCAGCAGGCAGGAAGAGCACAGGGAAGATATTACAGCATGCAGCTGGAAGGGGCTTGGGGCAGAGGGAAAACTGACTGAAGGCCCCAACCTATATCGCTTCCCTTGGAGCCCTACTGAACAGGGCAGCTCCCACATCCCAATGGGAAAACCAATTTTCGTGGCGTGGAGCAACCAAACGCTGCATTAAATATCCCATCAGAAACACCTCCCCGGGCCAGAGCGGGGATTTTAGCTTACCCTCTATCAAAGCAGACAGTAGGATCTAGGACTAGCCACCTGTAGGGTACCTGCCCACTTTCAGATGACGCCAGCCTCAACTGCCAGGCAGCGGGAAGAGAACAGAGTAGAGATGCAGTGCCAAGAAGAGGAGTGGGGTTGTGCCTGGTTTGAGATGCAAGTGATCAGCGATGTTCAGAGAGCACTAGGAAATGGGCTGCAGGGAGTTGCTCTGTCCAGCACTTTATTTAGGACCAGGGTCCATGCTGCTGAAACCCTGAAGGGCGAGTCACAGTTTCTGACCCTGCAAGGGGCGCAATACAAGAGCGTCCCAGGCACAGAATCTCTGCAATAGTCTCCTCATTCCCTGTACAGCCATCTGGACTCTTTCCCTTCTGGCCAGGTTCCAGTATTTCCATCCACAAACTGGAAGTGGGCCACTGGATTCCAACTAGTCAGCAAATGGCAGCACAGATGAGAGTGTCTGAGGTGGAGAAGGGCAGGACGGAAAGCTGGAAGTAGCTTAGGCAGCTAGGAGAGGCAGGAATCTCTCTCAGGGTCTGTAACCCTTCCCTTCTACTGCCCCAGCCTAGCACCATCTCCCATGGCCAGAAGATGCAGAGGCCACCAAGAGTCTGATATTTGTTGATGTTGCAACAATTCCCAAATCCTGCTTCAGCACAGGGGGCTGCACTGGCTGCCTTCTTGAGGTTCCCTCCCACATTTCAGTGCTCAGACCGTGCAGGGTGTTTATTAAAAAGAAGGGATGTATTTGGAAGTTTATGCTGATATTTCCATGGATCCTCTTCTCAGCAGCCAGCAACTAGCGTCAGGGTATTTCACTGTCAGTATCCATCGATTTCCCTCCAGCCTGCCATGCTACAAACCTTAATTTCAGCTTAGAGATTTATAAGAAAGCTGCTTCCTCTAAAGCATCACAGACTCTAGACAGATTTTTGAATTAAAAGAAACAGTAAAGAAAAAAAGACCAAGATTTGTTTCTTTAAAAATTCATCACTTATTCTTCCTCTTTAAAATAATTCAACTAATCTAAAGAACCAGCTTCATTTTACTGACAGAACAAAAGTAAAAGACGAATTTCAGTCTCCTCCCCTGCACATTGCAGCCTCGGGTGTCCGCTCCTCTCCCCACTTACAAACAGGAAGCCTCACACAGTGACCTTTAATTGTAGGTGATTTGGGAAGGAGAGGAGACTGAATATTTGCCTATTAGGTCACATATATTATATGAAACTGAACGTGCATTTCACACATTTCAATACTCCAGTCCTTAGTATGGATTCTCACACATTATACATTTGTGCTAGAGGAATAAAAATGCAGCAGCACAGTTGGATCCCCAAGCCCCAGTGGAGAGGCACAGAGAGAATGTGAAGATGGGGCACTTTAGGGAAAAACAAAACAAAACAAAAATTACAAACCAAAGGGGCATCTTTCTGTCTAGGCACAAAAATGTTTTAGTCTCAAAATCTTTCTTGTAAGAATTCCAGGGCTTTTGAGGAAAAAGTAACAAATTAAAACGAGGTAGCCAGACATTATATATATGCGCGTATATATTACATACACACATATGAGAAAAAAAACGTACCAAAAAAATCCACAAGAACAGCAACTTCAAATTGTCTGTTACAGCTGTCCCCCTGTTGGATTCCTTTCTGTTTGTGCTGAGTGGCTGCCCCCCCCCGGCCATGGAACTGAGTAAAGTCACAGACTGGCCCTGCTCATGGAAAAGGCTTGCACAGACTG